AAACCTGCCCAGCGCTGACTACAGGAAGCCCAAGGCAGAGTTGCTCTGCCCCGGGCTTCCTGGAATCAGCTGCTGATCAGTTTCAGCAGCAGCTGACTTGGGGTTCTTAAGTTGAATCTGTATGTAAGTCAGAACTGGCGGTCAGTTTCAGCAGCGGCTGAATCTGGACGCCAGTTCCGACTTACATATAGATTCAACTCAAGAACAAACCTACAGTCCCTATCTTGTACGTAACCCGGAGACTGCCTGTATTACAAGCTAATTTCAAAAACCAGCTTGAAAGGGAAGCTGCATAGCTTAATTTCATTTCCAAGATTAACACCTATAATAGAGGCTTAAACAAAGACTGTAACTGGATTACCTGCTACATTCCACATCCTAAAGACATAAAAAAAAACCCCCAAACGCTGGGTATTTAAGAGCATTTAGCACCTAGCTTTATTTAGCATGGACACTAATTGACAATATTTTCCCCTTTTTTTCCCCCCTCTTCTTTTTCCTTCTCTTCCCCCCACCCAATCCCTTCTCTTTGCTATCCGTTTGGAAACTGGATCTCCTTAACTCCATTCATCTGAAGAAGTGGGTTGTGCCCATGAAAGCTCATGATACCATCTACATTTTTTGGTAGTCTCTAAGGTGCTGCAAGACTATTTCTTATTTTTAAAGCTGTAGTAAGTCAACGTTTGTTCAATTGTAAACTTTTCAAAGATCACATTCTGTTCAGATACAGACCCCTGTATTGTATCTGGCAACTACACTCTGTAAAACTACCAGGCTGTGTCTACACTGGGCCATTTATTCCGGAAAATCAGCCGCTTTTCTGGAATAAGCTGCGAGCTGTCTACACTGGCCCTTGAATTTCCAGAAAAGCAACGATGCTCTACTGTACAAAATTAGCAGCTATTCCGGAAAAACTATTCTGCTCCCGCTCGGGCATAAGTCCTTATTTTGGAACACTGTTCCGGAAAAGGGCCAGTGTAGACAGCCCAGTAGTCTTTTCCGGAGAAAAGCCCCGATCACGAAAATGGCGATCGGGGCTCTTTTCCGGAAAAGCGCGTCTACATTGGCCACAGACGCTTTTCCGGAAAAAGGGCTTTTCCGGAAAAGCAGCCTGCCAATGTAGACGCTCCTTTTCCGGAAAAACTGAAAACGGAATAGTATTCCGTTTTAAGCATTTCTGGAAATTCATGCCAGTGTAGACACAGCCCCAGTGTGTGTGGGAGGGGGAAATGGATTCTGAAATGCAATAGCTATTAAAATTAGAAATAGCTCAATCGGAAGGTAGGGCAATGCATCAGACAGAAAAAGGAAAGATTTGAAGGAGTTAAAAAAATTGTGAATACTGCTAAAGGATAAGAAGGAAGATCTGTTGAATCTTCTGCTGTGCCCCTACTTACAAAACTCCAAAGATTTTATCCAGCCCATAATTAGATCACTGAGAAACCAGCTATGTGTATTTCCAAGGCACCCATCACAGTTATTTATAGGCTCACGTGTAAATAAGAATAGATTCTCAGCTACACATATGCATTATTCTATGATGCAGAAGACTGAGCCCACTTTTAAAAATATACACTATAGTAATCTTGCAACTCACACTTTTCATTAGCCAAAACTGACAGCTGAAGACAGACTATTGGCGCTCAAAGAAACTAGGTTTGGACACAATAAAATGAAAGCAGTTCTAAATAAGAATATTAGTTTTGAATAATAACAATAGATAGTAAGTCACAGCATAGTACATCAATATGTTAAGAAGTCTGAAATATTGGATGCTTAATTTTTAATAGAATAGTTATTTTCCTTTATATCAACTTCTTTATTCTGTGCTGGTAGTGTAAAGCCATTTTGTTGACCGTTTCGGATTATAATTTAATGAGATTTATCAGTTTCAAAAACTTCATCAACTAGTCCAACTGAAAAGACTGATATAAATTAAATGAATTAACATTTTATTAGAATAAGAATGGTAAATACATTTACTCTCTTCAAGCTGAGAAGGATACTTTTTCCATCTGTAAATTTCAGATCAACATCCTTTTTAGTATGTTGTAACCTGACCACTATTTGTATACCTACCTATAGGAGCTGATTTATTTTTAAATTAAAACATCAGATACAAGAAGAGGGGAGAAACAAACACTCATGTTTTACAGGAGTTCAGAATTCTCAGCCTTTTGGCTAAGATGATATGTGTGTTGGGTTTTTAACAGAAATATTGTTCATTAGTCACGGCTATTTCAAACCACTCTGATCTTTCTTGTATCCCATCTCAGACAACTTCATACCAATAAAAACGAATGGCTTTTTAAGACAAGCCACGGGTACTTAAAATACAGTAACACACTGGTGAGCACCTTACCTAACCTTCCGTGTACCCAGTCTACAGAGGATACAAAGCTGTTACAGCTTCAGCTAGAAAGACTTGGCTACGTAGCTCACAGGGGAACTGCTTGTGCTTTTAACTCTGGAGCTCCACTCTAGTACAGACAGTAACTGTACTATCATACATAGGGTGTTCTCATTGCTCTAACAAATACAGTATGTTATTGCCAAAATACAGAGCTGCAGTGGCTAATCAACTTTGGCAAAGAACAGGTATGATTCCAGTGAATCGCGGTCTCAGACTAGAGCAGCCAAGCATTCACACTGGAGTCTACGTATTTTTTCCTCTACTTAAGTATTTCTCAGTCTTTTTTGGTAGGTGGCCACTAGATCAAAGTCAACAAAATTCACAATCACCTTATATTTACTGTTAAACCAAAAGTTGTGTATGATTATAAATAATTTTAAAAGAGATCAGCCTAAGAAGAAGCCTGCCTAATTTATGTATGTGTGCAAGGTGAATAGAGAAGGTGTGTAGGAGTGAGCTATTTTTGCTGTCAATGCCGCCTGACCTCAGGCAGAGGATACAATTTGCAACTCACTGGCTGAGAGACCCACCTATAACTAGGGATTAAGGGGTCAGATTTCTTGTACCCTTAACACACACTGAATGGCACCTTACTCCACAAGTAGTACTACTGAAATCAGGGGGACTAATTGTGAAGTCAACTGCTAATGTATTGCAGTAAGGGTATCAGCCTCTGTCCCTTATGACTCTTTTAAAGGGAATGCACAACAAAGGGTTAATATCTACAGCGGGGAGGAAATAATGCTGCAGCTTATTTGGCAAGGACTCAATCCTGCTCCTGATGAAGTCATTAAAAGTTTAGCCAGTAACTCCAATACATGCAGAATCAAACCTCGGTTCTGCTCTGGAGACCTTTCATATAATTAGTGGAATCATAGCAACTAGGGCCAGAAGGGAACTAGAAGATTAGTCTGACCTCCTCTGTAAGTACCAGCTACCAACACCACCCAGCATCACATGTATGTACATTTCCACATTAGCTCCTATTGTAAGAGAGGCCACACATTTCAGTAGAATATAAGATATGGAGATTTTTTGGTCTAGCTAAATTGATATCAAGGTTTAACAAAGTGACAGTCAGAGAATCTGTCTTACCTGTTTCATGGAGGTCTTAAATCCAGTTTTTTGCGGTGAATTAGAGACTAGACTTTGCAGCACTGAGGTAAGTTTTTGCATGAAGTTCACTAGTACTCAATATTATGTGACCTGTAAAAGAATATCCTGGTTTACACCGCACTCTAAATGCCTGCTTGCTCTCTTTCTCTCCCCTTCTCTAGCTATCCAGAGAGGGACAGCCACCCAATGCAGTGAACTTCTAAGTCACTGAAAATAGCAACAGAAATCATCTGCCCATAACAACAGCAGCGCTCAGATCCCTACAGTCTTGAGAGCCTGGTAAAATTTCCAGCTGTTTTTCTTCATTAACCTTCCCTTATCACTGTCAGTCAGAACTTTCCCCGCCAACCCATTTTATTCTTTTCACTTCCTCATGGGTCAGCAGGTGCGAAGGTTACCAGAGCCGCGCCGAGATGGGTACCGGGGGGGGGGGCATCGAGCCAAACTGCTGCCGCTGCCTGACTCCAGGGGGATGCAACTTTCTTCCACGCAGACGCCGCCGGGACTAGCCTGGGGGGCGCGAGGCAGACGGAGGCGCGTGTAAAGCCACCACACCCGGCTGCTGCCCCGCACCGCGGGAGGCGGGGGGGGAACCAGCCCA